CCAGGGTGGACTGCCAGAAATACAGACTGGACTGGTTCCTGAGCTGGATGAGGTGTCCTGTGGGGAGAGATCGAGGAGACTAGGTCTATATTCCCTTGAGTTTAGAAAAGCAAGAAGTGATCACATTGACATGTACAGAAATCTCCTGAACTTGGCAGGGATGCTGGGAGCTGGTTGCTCTTGGCTGGGGAATCTAGATCACAAGTTCACAGTCTCAGGATAAGGGAGTGGTCACTTCAGACAGATGTGGAGGTGCCAGTGTTGGACTGGGATGGGCAAAGTCAGAAATCACACGACACCAAGCTATAGTCCGACAGGTTTATTTAAAATCTCAAGCTTTCAGAACTCTGATCTGACCTTCACCTGACAAAGGAGCAGTGCTTGAAAGCTTATTATTTCATATAAACCTGGGCCGGGGAGAAATTTCTTCACTTGGAAAGGTGTGAATCTTCAGAATTGCCTACGCCAGAGAGCTGTGGATTCTCAGAAAGAGAGATGTTGATAGATTTCAGACAATTAAGGAATGTGAGGAAAGTACAAGAAGACAGAAGATCAGTTATAATCTTGTTGAATGTTGGATCAGTCTTATAAGGCCAAATGGCCCCTCCTGCTCCTTTTTCTCATGTTGTTCTGGCTGTTTACTATCTCAACCTTGCCATTAGCTTCATTCTTAAGAAAGTAGATTGTGAACCAACTGATCGCTTTTCAGCTGATGATTCCAAACTTAGTATGAGAGGTTGAACATAAACTATTAAATTGGTGGAAGATTGATGGTGTCATTTTTCAAACAAAGGTCCCCCTTGCCACATCCACCTCCCCGCCGAAATGAGGAACTTTGCAGTTCAGTGTTTCTTGGTGAAGGTGAATGATATGGATCCAGCACCTCACCAGGCAGCCATTGCCCATCACTTACCTCTGAGACCATGCCGCGTAAGCCCGTGCATTCAGGGCGTACTCCAGCTCAAAGCGGGTACGCAGAGCTGCCACATGACTCCTGCCTGGTCCCCCACGCACCATCAAGCAGTCTGAGGAGGAGGATGGTGAGAGAGATCCACTGCTGTTACTGGAGGCTGGAGACATCAGCTGTGTCGACAGAAGCAAGAACAAGACATTAGATACAAGGAACCATAAGGAAATTCAACATAGACTGTACAAGCAGGAGTGGGCCATTCAGCCCCTTTAAGCCTGCTATAAGATTATGGTTGATCTGACTGCTGCCTCAACTCTTTTCTGTCTCCAACCTTGACTCCTTGTCTCTCAAACATCTCAAACTCAGTGTTGTATAAATTCAGTGGCCCAACCATCGCTCTTTTCTAGGGAAGAGAATTCCACAGAAAAATAACCCTTCAAAAGAAAATGTAATCCTCATCTCCATCTTAAAAACAAAACCATGTCCCCATGTTCTACTCTCCTGTATAAAAGGAAACATCCTCTCAGAATCCACCCTGTAAGGCCCGCACAGAATGTTTTTTTAAGGCTCCTCTACATTCTTCTAAACTCCGATGGCTAAAGACCCAGCCTTTCTCCGTAAGATCAGCTCTTCAATTCAGGAATAAGTCACATGAACTTCTCTGAATTGTTTCCAATGCAATGATATCCCTTTTTCCAAACAATCAATCCAGAAGTGTACACAATAATCCTGTACAGCTGGAGGCAAATGTCCTGACTTTTATGTTCCATTAACCATGCAGAAAACAAAACATTAATATTCAATTTGTCTTCCTAATCACTTGTTGCCTCTACACACTAACTTGCTGTATTTGATCTACCAGGACCCCCAGATCCTTCAGTATCTCTGAGTTCTGCAATCTGTCTCTCTCTATTTAATTAGTAGACAGTTGCTCTATTCCTCCTGCCAAGGTAAACACATTCACATTGGCTGATATTGTACTCCATCTGCCCCTCACTGAACCTGCCTGTCTCCCCTTGTAGACTCACTACTTCCAGTTGGTGACCTATTTTCTCACCTACCATGGTGTCATCAACAAATGTATCTCCTTGACATTCCATCCCTTCATTGAAATCATCAGTATTTATTGCAAATAACTGTGGTGCCAGCACTGATCACTGTAGCCCTCCAGCAGTTACAGCTCACCAACTGGAAAAAAAGCTCATTTATCTGTACTTTCTGTTTGTTAATCCTTTATCCATTTGAGTATGTTACACCGACAACTGCAGCTCTCAGCTTGGGCAGTAACCTTTGATGTGGCATCTCTTGGAAATCCAGGTGCACATATCCACTGACTCCTCGTTATCCATTTTGTTTGTTACTTCCTCAAAATACTCCCAGGAGTTAAACATGATTTTCTTTTCACAAAGCCCTGTTGACTTGGCCTGATCACATTCTACTTTCCTAAGAAGGCCCATCCTACTATTAGACCATGAAACCACAAGAAATAAGAACAGGAGGAGGCCATTCAGCCCCTAGAGCCTGCTCCACCATTCAATAGGATCATGGCTGATCCATCATTCCTCACATCCACTTTCCTGCCTTTTCCCCGTAATCCTCAATTCTCCGACCCCTCAAGAATCCATCTCAGCCTTAAATATACATAAAGATTTTGCTACCATAGCTCATTTGATTCTATAGAACATAGAGAACATAGAACAGTACAGCACAGTACAGGCCCTTCGGCCCACAGTGTTGTGCCGACCTATTATCCTACTGTAAGATCAAACTTCCCCGCATACCCTATATTATACTATCATCCATGTGTCTATCCAAGAGTCGCTTAAATGTCCCTAATGTATCTGACTCCACTACCACTGCTGGCAGCGCATTCCACACATCCACCACTCTCTGTGTGAAGAACCTAACTCCGACATCTCCCCTATACCTTCCTCCAATCACCTTAAAATTATGCCCCCTCGTAATAGTCATTTCCGCCCTAGCAACTCCCTCATGACAAATGTTAGACTAATTGACACACTTTGCATCCCACTGCTTTCCCGAATAAAGGAGTGACAGAACTGTTTCCCACAGAGGTATCAAATACGGTACTGGATAATCATTTGGGTAATAATGATTACAGGGATATGGGGCAAGGATAGGGGATTGGTACCAGGTAATTCGGCTGGTACAGTCACAATGGGCTGAATGGCCTCCTCTGTAACTTGTTTGTTTTTCTGTGATTCTGTGAATCCAAGTCAACGCTCATAAAATTCCAATTTCCATCCATCCAATGCAACAATCCTTACCTCAATGTTACAGATGCACTCTTCCAAATTGGTAACCAATTCAGAGAAGTCAGGTCGTTCCTACAGAGGAAAGGCAGAAAAACAATTATCTAGGTGAGACAGTGCTTGGAATATGAAACATTCTCCAAACAGAAAGTTCACGCTCAGAATACTGTGCACAGGATCTAGGGTAGAACTGTCATTCTGGTGTTTGAACCGTGAGTTCGGGCAGCTTATTGAGTCCAGAGGAGGGACCAAGTTAGCATCTGGTCACAGATATAATTGTTGGTGGGCAAGCCCAATACGCCTTGACGATAGTTCCTGGTCAGAGTGAAATGGTCAGTGCTGAGGGAGTGCCGCACTGTCGGATGGTCAGTGCTGAGGGAGTGCCGCACTGTCGGAGGGTCAGTACTGAGGGAGCGCCGCACTGTCAGAGGGTCAGTGCTGAGGGAGCGCCGCACTGTCGGAGGGTCAGTACTGAGGGAGTGCCGCACTGTCAGAGGGTCAGTACTGAGGGAGCGCCGCACTGTCAGAGGGTCAGTACTGAGGGAGCACCGCACTGTCAGAGAGTCAGTACTGAGGGAGCACCGCACTGTCAGAGGGTCAGTACTGAGGGAGCACCGCACTGTCAGAGGGTCAGTACTGAGGGAGTGTCACACTGTCAGAGGGTCAGTACTGAGGGAGTGCCACACTGTCAGAGAGTCAGTACTGAAGGAGCGCCGCACTGTCAGAGAGTCAGTACTGAGGGAGCGCCACACTGTCAGAGGGTCAGTACTGAGGGAGTGCCGCACTCTCAGAGATGCTGTCTTTCTTTTTGGAGATGGTGAATTCAGGTTCAACCTCCCCTTTGCAGTGGGTGTACAGATTGCATGACTCCCCTGGCCAATGTTTTTCTTCAAATAATATCAAAAAGCAACTACGCACTTATTTCTAACATTGCTGTTGGTGGGAGCTTTCTGTACTTAAATTGGCTGCAGTTTTCTTACATGACAGTTGATTAGCTAAAAGGGTCTTGTTGACTGTGATGTACTTTGGGATGTTCAGAAGCCTATCAATGTGCTCTTGCTGCTGCATGCATTTTATTTAAGAAATGCAGTTCCAACTGTCCAACTGTCATTGGCCATATGGTTATAACAGTCTGAACTCATATTCCATTAACTCCAGTGGTGTTTCATCATCTGCTGCTTAAACCTTCCCCAATTACACATATTTCATGCAGTATTCTGTCCTCTTTCTACAGGATCCCTGCTGTGTAAAATCCCTGGTACAATGGAAATGGCTACGAGGAACCAACAACATGAACAGCATGAAAAGTAACTTAATTCTTTTACCCTTTGAGACTATCAAGAATTATTGAACTGTAAATAAGCTCCTGGCCTTTCAGGCTGCAGTTGGAGACTAGAAGGACAGTCCAGTAATACTGGAGAATCAGACATCAGAGTTCCAGTATGACCAGTACTGAGTATTTTCTCCTTGATTTTTCCCTCTGGGATGAGGCCTGAGTGTTTCTGTCAAATCTCTCTCTCCACTATTCAGTTGGAGTTATTAACCAATTCATTTCTTTCACAAACCTCAAAAACTTCTCACCTCCACCATCTAGAAGGACAAGGGCAGCAGGTACATGGGAACACCAGCCCCTGTAAGTTTCCCTCCAAGACACTCACCATCCTGACTTGGAAATATATCGCTGTTCCTTCACTGTCACTGGGTCAAAATCCTGGAATTCCCTCCCTAAGGGCATTGGGGTCAACCCACAGCTGGTGAGCTGCAGCAGTTCAAGAAGGCAGCTCACCCCTACCTTCTCAAGGGCAACTAGGGACAGGCAATAAATGCTGGGCCCAGCCAGTTTTGCCCTCATTCTATTAGTGAATAACAAAAAGTAAACCCTTTCACCTGATTTGAAGGAGGAAGTAATTGATCCTATGTGCTATTTTATTCCAGCAATGTTGATGATGATTTCAGCCGTCTTCTCCATGTCCCTGTGTCCCTCCATCTCTGCTGCCTGCCCTCCTTCCTGCATTGTGTGCTCCGAAAACGTAACTCTCTGTCACGGTCTGGATTCCATTCCAGGTTTGTTACTGTTTCCACACTCTCAGCTTCTCTTTGCTCTTCTGGAAGTTCAGCCTCCAACCCCAGCTCTGGATACTCTCCCGCTAAGTTACATAACAACCTCCCAAAGTCTGGGAGCAATATCCGCCATATTGGACACAGCTAATCCATCAGCAGCTCTTAGGCTATGCAACCAAATTCTCACATATGCCCAATGTCACTCTCTTCCCAATGGGCCTCGTAAGTCACCTATCAGAAAGAGGGCCTCCCCCATCCTGGTCAACACTGCCTGGACAGAATGAGGCCCTGTTGTTGACAGACACACAGCCCCCAACCCCATCTCCCACTTGTCAGTCACATATTGGTGCAATTTCCTCAAATCCACCTCCTCACCTCCATAAGGCCTCATTGAGCCCACCCTCCTCACCCCTTCTGGGGTATATGGTAGCGTTGTGGTAATGTCATGAGCCTAGTGACTAGCCATGTTTAATGATTCTAGCCATTCTGAGGCTACTGCTTGGAAGAGACAGGTTCAAAACACATCGTAATGTTTGGTTGAATTTACATTGAATTAATTCCATTAATAAGGCCTTTGGCATATAAAGCTACTCAGTAATGCTACCCATGAAATAATTATTGAACATGGCAATAACCCATCTGAATCACTAATGTCCTTTCACTGCCATCCTTACCCAGTCGGGCCTACACATGACTTCAGATCCATAGCAATTTGGTTGACTCTTATCTGCCCTCTGAAATATCTGAGAAAACCATTCAATTCAATTCAAGGGCAATAAAATATGCGCAACAAAGGTTGTCTGTGCCACTGATGCCCACCTCCCAAGGAAGAATACATTATTTAATAAACCCTACATCTGTCCTAGTAACTTTGGCATTCTCACCAACAGACTGAATAGATGCCAATGAGTTGTGACTGGCACATACTATCTGAAAGGGCAATGGAAACAGATTCAGTCATAACTTTCTAAAGGGAATGGGCTAAATACTGGGAAACGGAATAGGTTGCAGGGAATAGGAGAGTGGAAATGATTGGATAATTCTTTCAAAGAGCTAAGACAGGCATAATAGGCTGATTGGCCTCCTTTGGGGCACTTTGGATACAAAGAAATGGGAGTTGGTCCATGAAGGGAATGGGCCATTGAGATCAAGTGTTGTTACAATCACAATGCGTCCATGTTTCTGAACTTTCTTAACCTGTAATGTGGGTTATGTTATTACAGCTGTCCCCTGGACCACAAGAGCCTTAATCCTTACTGATGGCACCATTCCTTCCATCAAGAAGCTCGACTTGGCTAACCTAACCTCCCTGACCATGTTGGAGCTGAGTAACAATGGAATCAGTATCATTAAGGAGGATTCTTTTGATGGCCTTCATGATCTCACAGATCTGCTGCTCAATCAGAATCAGATAACCAGTGAGGGGATCATGGAATCGGTGTTTATAGGTCTCCCTAACCTGGAACGACTCCACCTGCACAGCAATGGCATAGGCCAAATCAATGGGGTCTGGTTCAGCAACATGGTGAGGCTTGGAACTCTAGACTTGGGGAAGAACTACATCACAAAACTAGAGGCAGACACTTTCACAAGGTCGAACCTGCAGAACCTCCAAATCCTGGATCTGTCCAACAACCTGATTGAGTACATAGCCAGGCATGCCCTCCGTGGACTCCCAGCTCTGAGCTGTTTGGACTTGTCACGTAACAGGCTGTCAGGAATAGACAACTCTTTCTCACACTTATCGAAGCTTTTGGTACTGAATTTGAGCCTCAATCACTGGAACTGTACCTGCCCACTGCAAGAGCTTGCAGTGTTCCTGAGGAACTTCATTAAAACTCCGGAACGGACCTTAACTAACAGCAGAGGGCTGGTGTGCGAGATAGCAGAGAGTGCAGAGGTTCAGACAGTTCTGCAGTTAACAGACACCAACTGTGTATCTCAGTCCCAAAATGCTTCAGTTATTGTGATGAAGGGGAGTAGCAGGCACTATGTGCGAGATGTTATTTTAGCAGCAACAGTCTGTTTTGCAGGTAATGTACATCCTGCCCAGCTTGTCTCCCTTATCACTGAATTGGACATCCTACTTTTATCCAAGTGAAATTAGGCAGCAGGTGTGTGACTGGCTCAAGTCTCTTTTGGTGAACCATTTTGGTCAGCAAAAACAAGGAGAAACAAGATAAACAAAACGGAACAATTTTAAACAGAACAGCAAATAGACAGCCCAGGGCAAAGTGCACAAAGGAAAAGCTGTCCTAAACTTTTAGAAATCACTGGTTAGACCACAGCAAAGGATTGAGTCCAATCCTGGGCCCCACTCTTTAGGAACAATGTCCGGGTCTTAGAGAGGGTGTGGAGGAGATTTACTGGAATGGGAGCAGGAATAAGGGACTTCAGTGAATGTGGAGAGACTGGAGAAGCTCGGATTGTTGTCCTTAGAGCACAGAAGGTTCAGGGGGATTTAATCCTGGTGTTCAAAATCATGGAGAGAGTTTGATTGAGTAAATCAGGAGAAAATGTTTGCAGAGATCAAAGGGTCAGTGACCAAGGATCCAGGAGTAATAATTGGTAAAAGACCCGGAGGGAGAAGATGAGGGGGATTGTGTTACACAGTGAATTGTTGGGATCTGGAACATGCTGCCTGAAAGGGCAGTAGGAGCAGATTCAATCATCACTTTCAAAATGGGAATTAGGGGAATACTCAGGGAACGTGGGGAAATAAAGGGGGAGTGAGGTTAATTGTTTTGATTTTTCACTGAGATAGCACTGGCACAATAGGCTGAATGGCCTCATTCTATGCTGTAAAATTTGATAAAAGCTATATTTGAAGAGATACGCTAGGCCCCGTTGGGGTTGCTAACTATCCAGCATTACCCTGGACTAATCGATGATTATATCAGCTCAATGTTTGGTATGGTGATTTCCACATTGGCCCCAGGTCACCTGCTATTGAGACTGACTTTGCTGCCTTTCTGAAAGCGCTAGGATCAACAAGTCTAATGCACTTGTAACTA